TTCTCTTTCCTCTTTATGCCCTTACCATTTCTGCCTTTTCATTTTTCTTAATATATTCCATGGCGTTGGTAGAAATCCCCATCTCAGGCACAGGCAGACGGGAAGCACCCATTTCCTTCTCCAGATTTTTCTTCACAACTTCTTTCTCTTCCCTAGATAGAAATGATAAAAACAGTCAAAAGAGCTGCTCACAATTAGGGAAATTCCTCCTGGGCTGGTATAACTAAATGCCTATGCAACCAAAACCAAATATTGCTATAAAATGCAATGGGGGCATCATGGGGAATATTAAAGGCCACCTCACATGGAGGCCAAAAAGCCGGAGAGTGGCAGGGGAAACCGTGGGCCTGTGTAAGGCTTTCTCCCCTTACTGTCAGTGGTTGTGGCATCCCACCCCATGATCTTTCCGTGCTGTCCCCAGCTTCTTCCCTCTTCCTTCCTTCCTTCCTTCCTTCCTTCCTTCCTTCCTTCCTTCCTTCCTTCCTTCCTTCCTTCTTCTATGAGGAGTGGCCGCTGTCTACCCAACTCCTCTGGGCTCTTTCTCTGTTGCCGGCACAGAGCCCAAGGGAACAACCCTTCTTCTCCCCATGTCATTTCCAATTCAGACTCCATTTGTTTATTTCTTTGAAATATTTCTATTCTGCTCTTCTCACCCTGCAGGGGACTCAGGGTGGAGCACAACATATATATGGCAAACATTCAATGCCGGGACATAAAACCATAAATATACACAAACATTAAAATCTCTTCTATCCACTTTAAAACCAGTAACTTAAAAATCATCTCAGGACACCATTCTATCATTGCCACATTGCACTGCCCCAAGAGCTTGGTCCCACGGCCAGGTCTTCACAGGAGGGAGGGGGCTGATCTAATATTGCCAGGAAGGGAGTTCCATAGCTGGGGGGCAATCACTGGGAAGGTCCCCTCTCTCATTCCCTCCAAACACGCCTGTGATGGTATCAGGACTGAAAGCAGGGCCTCTCCAGAAGATCTTAGTCTTTGTGGTCGTTCATAAAGGGAGATGCGTTCAGACAGGTAAACTAGTTAAGGATAATGTGGTCTGTTGCCCCTATTTAGAAACTTTGGGGATAAAGGTATTTATTATAAAATCCCCCTCTGGGGGCACAAAACATGAATATCAGAGACTAACCAATCTTTTCTTTTCTTAGCCCCCACTTGGACAAAACCAAACAAGAACCCAAGGAAGTCAACCTGGACGGAGCTGCGTATCCTGGCACTGCTACTCATTCTGGGGATCTCCTTACGTGAGTTCCATAGTTTGTACCCAGGCCCTAAGGCTGCTGTTGTGGCCCACATTGTTAAGTTAAAATATATACAAAGACCAACATGCACACAGTTAATAATCAATGGGGAGAAAACACAACGAATCAAAATAAGATGGGGTACCAGGCAAGGCTGTCCATTATCACCACTCCTTTTTATTATGTGCATAGAGATGCTCATAAAACAAGTAAATGAGAACAAAGAAATAAAGGGTGTACGGGCAGGAAGCAAAGACTAAAAGATCTGTGCCTTTGCTGATGACATTGTTCTGACTCTGGAAAATCCCAATGACTCAAAGAAAGAACTAAACAATAGGTTCTTGTGGGTTTTTTCGGGCTATAGAGCCATGTTCCAGAGGCATTTCTCCTGACATTTCGCCTGCATCTATGGCAAGCATCCTCAGAGGTAGTGAGGTCAACTGAACCTGGAGAAAGCCACTGAATGTGGCTGCGTCTCACAGAATGTGGCCTTTAAGGAGAGTCTGGATGGCTATTTATTGGGGGAGCTTTGAATGCGATTTTCCTGCTTCTTGGCAGGGGATTGACTGGATGGCCCATGAATCTCTTCCAACTATGATTCTAGGCCTCCTGCTTTTATATTCAGAAGAGGCAGGGTTTTTGTGTGTTTTTTTTTTTTTAAAAACTAAGGATAAATATATTAGTTGCATTTCAGAAATTCAACCTAACCATGACTATTAGATCTGAAAAGCAACTTCCCAAGTTCCGCCAAGCTTCCAAAGCTAAAAGTAAGCTCCACACAGACTTAAACTTTGTGCATAAGGAAATATGAAAGTATTGAAAAGCCAACCAACTGGTATGACAATGTACCCATGGACCACACGCCTCCATTGGTTGCTTGGGCAGTCTATGTTATCAGGGACCTAATCCCAAGAAGTCACCCAGAGCTTCTCCACACGAGGAATACTGACTGGCACAAGTCAGTACACACACAAAGAGAGTTCCTTCTTGCAGATGGCAAATGCACATCTGGCACAGAGAACAAAGGCAAAGGGCACAGCTGCCAGGCTCAGTTATGCTACTCCCCATCCCCCAATTTCATCTGGACACCCCAAAGTGGACCGTGAACACGTCTAAAGAAACCAAACATAGTAAATACATATACAAAAGTAACATGAGGTTCGTAATTATTTTACAATAGGCCCTCCAGTTTCATTATGTTGCATGAAACCCCCTGAGTAAAATTATTATTTGTCCCTTCGTGCCTGGAGCAGAGAGTTCCAAAGGCTGCAGACACTTAAAGTGTACTTGTTTGGCTTTACACATGTTCAGGCAATCAGGAAACTAGCTACAGGCTGCTGAGGATTCCTTAAGAAATTGGTCACCCTGAACTCTGTGTTTCTCTTGCCCCTTCCTTGCTGTAATGTATCTTTCCCAACCATCATGTACCTTTCTGTGATTGGTCAGAATTGGGAGACTCGTCCAATGGGCTTTGCTACAGCTGATGTTGCTGCAGTGGGAAATTTGAAATTATTTTGTATAAAAGAGGCTGTATTTCTGTTTTCTGGCTATTCTAGTTTCTTTGTGAATGTATCACAAGTTATGATCTTATCTGCAGATAATGAAAATCTTCCTTGACTGAAATCACCTTTTCACCTTGTTGCTGGATTATTTTAATTGGGGCTTAATTGGATCTGTATGCTTGCTACAGGAGGGACTCACAGGAAAGGGGCAGCTCAGACTTATCACTTGTCTGGGTTTCTGCCAACAGGCTTCTTCCTGGTCTCTCTGCCAGGGGTTGCCTCCTAAATTGGGGCCAACAATCAGGGTTGAGAGGACAGAAACCCAGTGACAATGGGGAAACTGCGAATTAAAAATGCTTTTTAAGAATCATAATTTTATGTCTTACTCATCTCCATTTGCGGCTTGAGACAGATTACAAAAGTTAAAAACACACAATCTTTGTAAACATTCTATAAAATCCACATATTAAGACACATTTCTATAAAATACATATTAAAAGACAGAAAAGAAAGATTACAATGTGTTGTCAAAGGCTTTCATGGCCAGAATCACTGGGTTGCTGTGACTTTTCTGGGCTGTATGGTCATGTTCCAGAAGCATTCTCTCCTGACATTTTGTCTGCCTCTATGGCTGGCATCCTCAGAGGTTGATGGATCCCTCAGCCTTTGAGGATGCCTGCCATAGATCTGGGTGAAACCTCAGGAGGGAATGTTTCTGGAACATGGCCATACAGCCCGGAAAACTCACAGCAACCCAAAGATTGAAATACAGGATGCGAGTTTACAATTCATGATTTGTAGTGAATACAAGACCTCTCTCTTGTTCCTCCGGGGTTGTGGAACACCCTGCCTGAAGAGTTAAGATCCGTCCCTTCTTTAATGGGTTCTAGTCGGTTGAGCCAACATAGAGCTCGGAACCCAGTGATGTCACCCATGAATATTCTAGTCATGGCTGATGCGGTTGCAGATACACAACACAGGCAGATCACAGGTTGAATAGCCATTAAATGTAAAGCTTGGGACCAGAAGTGTTTTGGATTTCAGACTTTCTAATTGCAGAATGACTGCATAGAAATGATGAGCTATCTTGGAGGTGGGGCCCAAGTCTAAACATGAAGATAATTTATGTTTCATATATACCTTATACAGCCTTGAAGTCCATTTGACAAACAATATCTTGAATAATTTAGAGTGTGCAACAAAGTTTGTGGACATCGAGCCATCAGAGCATCTCTTCTGCTAGTCGTCTTGCTGGAGGACTTTTCCTGAAGTACAATCTGTAACTGAGATTCCCCCATGGGACCATGGCTTTCCATTAATATATACCAACCTTCACAAGATCTCATTTGCTTGTGTCTGCAGCTCAGCAAGTTGACCCAGCTATGCAGCTCAGCAAGATCTTTTCCAAATCAACAATTTTCAGATACTGTGTAGGACTGACTAGGATTTTGGCACCCGTGTATCCCATTGTTCAGGTGGAAAACATGAAGGACTGGGATCAAGTCTTGCCTTTGCTAAAGATGATTTAGCTTCATGCCCAGTTGTGGAAGTCAGAGATGGAAGAAGGCCTGAGTAATAATTCCCAGAATAGATCTCTAGTGTTTCAAGTTCAGCAATATCTGTATGTTCTTGCAACAGAACTTGCGCTGTATTTCCAACAACCTAGCTAGTTTAGAAAGAATATGTCATTGTTATTAGGTTTTTGTAATGGGGAAAATATTCCAGTGCAAAATAATGTTTTGATTGCCCCTGGATTCAATCTATTATTTTTCAGTGGAGCACTTTAGGATGTAACATGTCAAGTGCTGCGAGTTCATCTGATGAGACATGCAGTACTAATGAATGTGCTATTGTCAAAGGAAGAAGGCTCTGTGAGAGGAAAATTGGGAATTACAACACTATTCGAAGAGCCCTTTGTAAGTAGCAGTAATTTAGAGAAAACAGGATGCTATGGCATGATCGAATAACAAATGTAATGAGTGAAAAACAAGCTTAGCTTTGTTTGGGGGAGGATAATATTTCAAAGTCTGTAAAGACTTTGGTATATTTTTCTTCAAATACAGTAGGCAGCTTTTGTCCTGCATTATGGGAATGCAGCACTTTCTCCAAATACTGTGTTATGCCTTCCAGCTAGAACTGGTAATGTTTCAAAACTGAGAATTTTTGTTTCCCCAGAATGAACACAAATTTAGAAACTTTGGAAGTTAAAATAAGTTGTCATCACACAATAGACTCCAGTATCAATCTGCCCAATGTCAACAATTTATTATGGAACAATTTGCATTTCATCTACAGTTATAGTGATTTTCCTTATAACATTTTCAGCATATTTTGCAGATGTTGAAATGAAAAGAAGCCGAGCCCAAGAGCACATGAATAATTTCAAGAAACAACAAATAAGAAGCTAGCTTACCTGGTAGGGGAAAAAACAACCACTTTAAACTACCTATTGCAACAAACAAACATACAAACAACCCCCAAAGTGCTTATTTAGAAAAACAGCTTTCAAAGTCCAGCAGCAGTTTTATGCCACACCGAAAACCTCATATATTGGCACAGAACCCCAACTTTCTAACCTTGAACAGATATTGGGCAACATACAGTATAGTGATCTCTCCAAGCTCTCATATATTTTCCACAAAATCTGTCTTACTTTCCATGACAAAGTTGGAGTCAATAAGGACTCAAGAGAGGAGAGGGCCATTCTGTCATCGCACAGATACAAGCTCCCACTCATTCCTAGGAACTTAATTTTTTTCTCAGGCAAAAATAGTTCCAAACCACTTTTGGCTTCTGCTTTCAAGTGACTCTGTCAGGACCCTAGTTTTTGGTCACAAGGTTCATAATTAAGTCTCCCCAAATAATCTGGAAACTTTTAAATTATTTTAAGAATTCCAAAACAGACATAAAAATAAATCCAAATCCCCCCCCTAGCTTCCCATCCACATGCAACTCAAAGTAACAACATTAACAGGAATGTATGAGCATCCTCGTATTCTGTTCCATAATCCCCAATCCATGGATTGATGAATGGAAAGCCATGTATGCTGGTTTCTCCTTTTACTTCTATATGCACCTCCACTTACACGTACCCTTGAACTGAAGAGAATAAGTCAGAAGAATCAATGTGCAATCTCTCCAATGCATGCAAAGAGCCACTAAATAGGAACTAATGTCCATCCTGGACAGGCAAAACATGTTTTACATTTAGTATCTAACTTACTTCTCTCTTTTTCCTCTGAAGCTGAAATGCTACAATTTGGCTATAGCTTACTTGTGATCAGAAATGCAATGAGTCTGTTAAATTGAAAGCTGAACATACTTTCACTCTGAAACATAGAACACTTATGCAGACTTTAAGATATTATTTGATGCAAGTTATAATGATTAATTTCATGAGGTGGTGACTTTTAGTCGAGAAACCGGCTTCAGACTGATTACTGTCAATCTACCATATTAATATTATTCATGTAAGCTTTCAGAGATCAAAAATAAAGCAGCAATTGCGAAGAAATTTAGACTCATAGTATATACTGATAACTCCTATTTCACAGAATACATTGCTTAGCAAACGCTGACTTTCAAACAATTTGTAAAGATATTGTTCAGTCATTTTACTGAATGCTGCTACACTAACTTTAGTGACTGTTCTCAATTCTTAACCAAACAGATTTTATGGATTATACAGTGGTTTCTATTCTATGTGTTCTTTTGTTGCCAGAGAGTAAATCACTGCTGTAGTTTTTCAGCAGCTTATGCTAAACACCCTATTCTAACACTCACCACTGTTTACAATGTTAAGATCCCATATGTACCTGCAACACAATTTTCAACAGAACCTAAGTTGCCATAGTTTTTGAAATTGATATAATAATTCTCAATATATTAAAGTTCAAAAATATATTATGAATTAAGTCAAGTTATAGAACTGATAGGGAATGTTAAACTTGGAACATCATTCTACATTCTTGGTCACACAAAAAACAACAACAGATATTTAGTGGTCCCTAAACGTCTCAAAAATCTCCCACCTCATTCACTAGCAGATGTTCCAACTATGGTTAGAAACTGCAGAATGTGAACAGTGTGACAGTAGTGCACCTTAATTCACAAGGAAAGTCACATATTTGATACATTGAAGACTCAAGACTGCCTTAAAATAAGTAACTTATGCATTGCTTGTGATACGCCAAACTGCTACAGGGACCCAAGCCCCAGCATTAGAAATGCAGGGCAAAGTACTTTGTCCATAGATTTTAAGTAAAGACTTCTAAATAAAAAGATGAATCATTCATAAATGCTTGACACATGAAATGATCCTGAATCATCATATATGAATTCTGGAGTCTGGACTTGAAAACTCTAGCCACAAAAATCCATGTAAGTAAACCAAACATCAACAAAGTAGTTTCTGGCAAATCAGTGTTGATTTTCCTTAGACATCTTGCTGTCTTGATTTGAACAAGACAATTTATCTTGAAGCCATGGATTTCTTTTGTGGCTCTCCAATTCAAAACTAAAGTTAGCCTGGGTTTTAATCAAGGTGTGCTTGAAAAAGGGAACATTAGCACACATTGAAGTATTTTACTTTCCATGACTTAGGAGAAAGCAAATGCTCACATTGTTAAAGACATATTTATCTACTTCCGTATTTTGATATAATTATAGTGTCAGAATACTTCATGAACTCTGAAATGGTTTTCTAGGGAAGGTGCTTCATTGGCAAAATGAAGTTTGCTGTTTACATTTACACCAAGTTCATGAAGGATTTGTACAAATTTCTTGTGCTCCTTCCCAATCCACGCTCGCATTGTATCGAACACCTGATATGGTGTGACATGAGCATTGACTGTAATTCCAGTCTGTGCAAAGTCTTTCAGCACATCCGGATATGTCACCCAAGTATTGCTTCCTCCTGAATGACCACCATCCAACCAGTAGATTGCTTTTATATTTTTTATGAAGGCACAAATCTCCTTGTCCTTTTCTGCCTCCTTTAGTTCATGAAGTAATTGATTCAAGACAACACAACCTTTACTGAAGCCGATTAAAGTGAATGAAGTTCCGCCAACAACAGAAGGTTCAATAAAGTCCAGAGAAGAAGAGCCCAAGTATTCACAGTCTCTCTCCCTTTCTCCTCTTGAACATCCATTAGTCGTAGCCATAGGAGGTAATTCACAGGAAGTTGGCTTAGTATCCTTGGGGAAATCATGCATACTTTTTTGAGACAGCAAAATATTTTGAGCAAGTTTAAATGCATTAAGTAACAATGCATGAAGGTGTACGAAGGCTCCAAAGTCAGTGTTGTGCTCAGGTGCTCCAAACATATTACTTGACACAAAATTATCATAGCAGCTAAATTTGTGCAAATGCATACGGGAACATTTTATAACCCAGATGTAACTGCCAGGGAAACGACGGCCAAGAATAGCAGCAATGTTTTCTAAGCACCACTGTTCCCACTGGAAATTTTCTGGATGACAAATCATAATTTCGTGATAGTTCTGAAATAAGAAAACAAATGAAGACATTTAGTATGTTATAGCCAATGGCAGAGAAACATGCAAATCATGTCAGTCTATACATAAGTGGTAATTTTACAAGTAGAGAAAATATCTTTCTCATACGTTGAAGAAATTTGGAGAACACCAACTGGTACAAACATGTAGGTTCTAACTTGAATTAAATCTCAGATGTTTAAGAGTGTGAGGCTGGGTGTGTTGTCTATCTCTTTCTTGAATCATGCTTTGGCTGTAATACACATACATAGAGAAACAAGCTCCAATTAACTCAACTATGCCCACTTCCATGAAAATATTACTAGAATTGCACTGGTGCAGTGCAATTCTAGTAATATTTTCATGGAAGTGGGCATAGTTCTGTTTTTGTTTTGTTTTTAATTGTAATCTGCCTTGGGCTTGGGCCCCATGTAAGCCGCCCTAAGTCCCTTCGGGGAGATGGAGGCGGGGTAGAAAAATAAAGTTCTTCTTCTTCTTCTCAAGAGATTGTTTCACTCACAAAAGCTTTGGAAGAAGAAAACCCCAGTCATGTCCGACTCTGGGGTGTGGTGCTCATCTCCATTTCGAAGCCAAAGAGCTGGCGTTGTCCGTAGACACCTCCAAGGTGATGTGGCTGGCATGACTGCATGGAACACCATTACCTTCCTGCCGGAGCGGTACTTATTGATCTACTCACTTGCAAATGTGAGTAATAGGAACCACTCTGGCAGGAAGGCACTCCATGCAGTCATGCTGGTCACATGAACTAGGAGGCGTCTACGGACAACGCCAGCTCTTCGGCTTAGAAATGGAGATGAGCACCACCCCCCAGAGTTGGACATGACTAGACTTAATGTCAAGGGGAAGCCCTTACATTTTAAAAAGAATTCCATATAATCTCCCACCATCATTGTTTTTGAATGATAATAATCTCATTTCATATAAACCCCTACCATCACAGTATTTAGTGGAATATTAATACAATAATTTTACAAAATCCCCACTGTTGATGGTTTGGACCAGGGGTCCTCAAACTAAGGCCCGGGGGCCGGATGCGGCCCTCCAAGGTCATTTACCCGGCCCTCACTCAGGGTCAACCTAAGTCTGAAATGACTTGAAAGCACACAACCACAACAATCCTATCTCATCAGCCAAAAGTAGGCCCACAATTCTCATTGAAATACTAATAAGTTTATATTTGTTAACATTGTTCTTCATTTTAATTATTGTATTGTTTTAAAGTGTCTTTTGCACTACAAATAAGATATGTGCAGTGTGCATAGGAATTCATGCATGTTTTTTTCAAATTATAATCCGGCCCGCCAACGGGTTGAGCCACTGTGACCTGGCCCTCTGTTTAAAAAGTTTGAGGACCCCTGGTTTGGACAATTAGACCTATCTCTTGCATTAAAAGAAGACTCCAGCAAAGCATTCCAGCAGGGAAGCATGCGGGAATGCGGAAGTGCTTCATCAGCGTCGCAGATGGACGAGGAAAGCGACAGCTCTCCTGGCGGCCAGAAAAAGTTAAATAGCCTCTGCCTATGTCTGTATATGTTGTATGTTAAAATTGGCATTGAATGTTTGCCATATATGTGTACACTGTAGTCCGCCCTGAGTCCTCTGCGGGGTGAGAAGGGCGGAATATAAAAGCTGTAAATAAATAATAAAATAAATTAAAAGGGGAAGGAGGAACACAAGAGGAAACGCCCACTGGATCCAATGGGGACCTAGTTATGTGCTTCCAAGGCCCTTTCTTCAGAGCTGTATAACATCCACATTCTATGGCAGCGTGGACTCAGCCATATAACCCAGAAGATCAAGACGGAAAATCTCATATCTGCTTTGAACTAGGTTATCTGAGTCTGTGTTGTTGTTCATTCGTTCAGTCGATTCCAACTCTTCGTGACCTCATGGACCAGCCCACGCCAGAGCTCCCTGTCGGCCGTCACCACCCCCAGCTCCTTCAAGGTCAGTTCAGTCACTTCAAGGATGCCATCCATCCATCTTGCCCTTGGTCGGCCCCTCTTCCTTTCCTTCCACTTTCCCCAGCATAATTGTCTTCTCTAGGCTTTGCTGTCTCCTCATGATGTGGCCAAAGTACTTCAACTTTGTCTCTAGTATCCTTCCCTCCAGTGAGCAGTCGGGCTTTATTTCCTGGAGGATGGACTGATTGGATCTTCTCACAGTCCAAGGCACTCTCAGAACTTTCCTCCAACACCACAGTTCAAAAGCATCTATCTTCCTTCGCTCAGCTTTCCCTAAGGTCCAGCTCTCACATCTGTAGGTTACTACAGGGAATACCATGGCTTTGAATAGGCGTTGCCATGTATGTCTCTACTCTTCACTATTTTATCGAGATTGGACATTGCTCTCCTCCCAAGAAGTAAGCGTCTTCTTATTTCCTGGCCACAGTCTGCATCTGCAGTAATCTTTGCACCTAGAAATACAAAGTCTGTCACGGCCTCCACATTTTCTCCCTCTATTTTCCAGTTGTCAATCATTCTTGTTGCCATAATCTTGGTGTTTTTTTTTTATGTTTAGCTGCAACCCAGCTTTTGCGCTTTCTTCTTTCACCTTGATTAGAAGGCTCCTCAGCTCCTCCTCACATATCCCAGTTCAAAGCAAACCATGTGAGATTTTCTACAGCTGTGTGGAAGGGGCCCCAGATAACCCAGTTCAAAGCAGATATTGTGGATTATCTGCCTTGATCTTCTGGGTTATATGGCTGTGTGGAAGTGTCTCAAGGCATCTTCGGATCTCTGGGGAGTCCATGGTGAACCTATGAATAACTACACCACCACCAGATTAATACTTCTGCCCTGAGGCCTGAGACTGAGGGAGCCTTGCCCTACCTGCACGTCCCCGGAGAAGTAGACGACGTGATGCTGAGGCGCGTTGAGGGGCCCGTCGGCGGGCAGGAGCAGCAGCACGTCGTTGGCCTTGGCGGGCTCGGCGCCCGGCACTTCCGGCAGGCGCAGCCAGGGGAGCTTCACCTGAGGAGGCGTCGAGGAAGAGGAGGAAGGCCCCGAAAGGCAGCCCGCCGGCGCCTTCCCCCGCAGGCTCATGCTGGCCGTGCTCCGCGCCACGCAGAGGACGGCGGAGCCGACGAGGCCCCTCAGGACGGAGGCGGCGGCAGCGGCGCAGCGCCGGCTCATGGAGACGCCTCCAACCACCCCTCAGAAGAGCCTTCTCGGCGCGCATGCGCACAAGCCTCCTCTCCTTGCGCCCGGCCCTCCAACGGCTGCTCGCGCGGCCACAGCAAACGCGCCAATCCTGCCCCGCCCACCCCTCGCGACGCCCGACACGCATGCGCAGAAAAGGGGCGGTGCTTCCTCTGGCCCCATTGGCAGTCCCTTCTTGTTCCCGCCCTCCAAAAGATCCAAAGGAGACGGGATAGGCGATTGTGCCGTCAACTGGTGAGGGCTTTCTGGATTTCATACGGTTTGGGAGTGCTGTGAGTTTTTCAGGCTGAATGGCCATGTAGCATTCTCTCATGACGTTTCGCCTGCATCTAGACCACTTTGACAACCAGCATGTCAGAGGGTTGTTGTAGGTTTCTTTCGGGCTATATGGCCATGTTCTAGAGCAGTGGTTCTCAACCTGGGGTCCCCAGACGTTTTGGCCTTCAACTCCCAGAAATCCTAACAGCTGGTAAACTGGCTGGGATTTCTGGGAGTTGTAGGCCAAAAACATCTGGAGACCCCAGGTGGAGAACCACTGTTCTAGAGGCATTATATTATTATTATTATAACTTTATTTGTACCCCGCTAGCATCTCCCAAGGGATTCAATGCGGCTTACACAGGCCGAAGCCCCAAAACACAATACCAACAGGACAATATCTAAAGCAAAATTAAAAACAGTTAAGCAGAAAAACAATAACAGTAACAATACAAGACACTATTAAAACTGGGCCAGCCAGAGTAGGGGTACAGGATTAAAAGTGCTGATGTGGCGGGAGGAAAGTAGGATTATAATATAAGTGCAGTGTGCAGTGTGCAGTGATCTTGGTTCTACTAAAGTGCTTCTAGGATTTGGTGTGGAGGCTCCTAATCTGGAAAGGCACATCAGAACAGCCAAGTTTTCAGATTCTTTCTGAAGACTGCCAATGTAGGGGCTTGTCAGATCTTTCGGGAGGGCGTTCCAGAGTCGGGGGGCCACCACAGAGTCTCGCGTCCCCACCAAGCGCGCTTGCGACGCGGGTGGGATCACGAGCAGGGTCTCTCCAGATGACCGGAGTGAGCGTGTGGGTTCGTAGACAGTGATGCGGTCACACAGGTAGGGTGGTCCCAAACCATTCAGGGCTTTGTAGGTAAGCACCTGCACCTTAAATTGGGCTCGGAAAATAAACGGCAGCCAGTGGAGCTCCTTGAACAGGAGGGTTGACCTCTCTCTGTAATGAGCCCCGGTTAACATCCTGGCTGCTGCTCGTTGGACCAGTTGGAATTTCCAAGCCGTTTTCAAGGGCAGCCCCACGTAGAGCGCACTGCAGTAGTCCAATCTAGAGGTGACCAAGGCATGGACCACCCCAGCCAGATCAGCCTTTGCGAGGTACGGTCGCAGCTGGCGCACAAGTCTTAGTTGCGCAAAAGCCCTCCCGGACACCGCCGACGACTGAGCCTCAAGCGTAAGTGATGAATCCAAGAGGACTCCCAAGCTGCGGACCTGTGGCTTCAGGGGGAGTGTAACCCCGTCCAACACAGGTTGCCACCCTATACCCCGATCCGGTTTTTGATCGACCAGGAGGACCTCTGTCTTGTCAGGATTGATCTTCAGCTTGTTCGTCCTCATCCATGCATTCTCTCCTGACGTTTCGTCTGCATCTGTGGCAAGCATCCTCAGAGATATCCTCACTATCAGAGTAATACCTTCACAATGCAAAATAGGTTCATTTAATTCGAGGGAAATCTCGTGTGGAGGATGATTGTTGTAAGGGGTGATAAGCAGACAGCCATACTACCTCTGAGGATGCTTGCCATAGATGTAGGCGAAACGTCAGGAGAGAATGCCTCTAGAACATGGCCATATAGCCCGAAAAATGTGCTGCTGGATGTCCCACAAAAACAAAAAATTTGCAGTTAATAAGCGTTTCCCATGTTTTTAGGATCAAACCAATTAGGAAAGGACATACATCAACCAGGGGAAAAAAATCATGTTACATAGTGTAATACTATTTAGTTGCTCCATGCAGTCATGCCGGCCACGTGATCTTAGAGGTGTCTACGGACAGTGTTGGCTCTTCGGCTTAGAAATGGAGATGAGCAGCACTCCCCAGAGTCGGGCACGACTGGACTTAATGAACAACCTTGACCTTTACCCTATTTCGTTGAAATCTCACTTTCTTGTTGTGTGAATACATTGGTCTATCTCAAAGTCACTGTAATGCTCTTTTGAAAATAATAATAACAACAGTATAATAACAATATTAACAATGTGATAGGCATGCATTAAGAACAAATCACTTGCAAAGGTGAGCATAAAAATAAGCTCCAGAAATGGCCATATGTTTACTTCTGATTTTGAAGACTAGGTTTTTTAAAATGTGAAACTATAGGTGAACCTATAATCTTTTAAAAAACAAAATGAATCATTTCTGTTTTGATTTTAGAAAAAGGATGGGAACATGTAGCTGCAGGACTGACCTTTTCCTTTCTTGGTTTAAATGCAGTGATTTTGTCACCAAATTTCTTACAAAACAAGTGTGCTCCTTGGAGGCTGGGAGAAGAAAGAGCACATGGCATATTACTTCAACCAAACAGAATTGGAGCCTCAATGCTAATCACAAAAGTAAGGTTCATAGTTGCAGTCCTAATTAAACTTAATTGGAAAGAACATCTATTAAAATTAATTGGGTACTGTATTGTGTCAACCCCACCTAAAGCATTCTCTTGCCCTACTTATGCCTTCGCTCATTGTTGTTAGAAGAAAAGCTTTTCCTCACTCGCTCCAGGTCAGTGAATGAATTCCTATGCACACTGCACATATCTTATTTGTAGTGCAAAAAAAAAAAACACTTAAAAACAACACAATAAATAAAATGAACAATTTTAACAAATATAAACTTATTAGTATTTCAATGGGAAGTGTGGGATGCTTTTGGCTGATGATATAGGATTGTTGTTGTGTGCTTTCAAGTCATTTCAGACTTAGTTTGACCCTGAGCAAGGGCTGGGTAAATGACCTTGGAGGACCATATCCGGCCCCCAGGCCTTAGTTTGAGGACCCCTGCTATAGAAGAAGGAGCAAGCTTATTTTCCATTGCTCCAGAGGATAAGACAGGGTGTAATGCATTCCAGCAGAGTAGTTGGAAGAACTTCCTGAAGTTTATTTATTTATTTATTTATTTACTTTATTTGTATACCGCAGTTTCTCAGCCCGTAGGCGACTCAACGCGGTTAACAACAAGAGCAAGAATTCAATACTAACAACATGCACTATTTAAAAACAATTAACACCGTAATGTACTGAGTAATTACACATCAGTAGGCAACACATTAACATCTCGTAACTAGAATCATGATCCAACTCGTCATCCATAATTCCGTTTTCCTATATTCCTTATATTCATAGCACTGTTTATTCAAACGCCTGTTCAAACAGCCAGGTCTTCAGTCTTCTTCGAAACTCCTTTAACGAGGGGGCTGATCTAATGTCCATGGGAAGGACGTTCCACAGCCGGGGGGCCATCACTGAGAAGGCCCTGTCCCTCGTCCCCGCCAAACGTGCCTGTGATGCAGGTGGGATCGAGAGCAGGGCCTCCCCTGAAGATCTTAAAGTCCTGGTGGGTTCATAGGTGGAGATACGTTCGGATAGGTAACTTGGGCTGTTTAACAGATGAGTATACTGCCTTGGAGTGTGGTGGAGCGTCCTTCTTGGAGGTTTCCAAATAGACAGGATGGCCATCTGTTGAGAGTGCTTTTGTTGTGAATCTCTAAAGCACTCCCTGGGGTGAGATTAGATAGCCTTTGGGATCACTTCCCATTCTGTGATTCTTCCACTCTAAAAGGGGAGGGAGATTACACAAGTGAATGAGTTGCTTTTTGCACTGTTGCTGACCCTTGTCCCCACCAGCGTTTTTACTGAGATGGACTCTCTCTGAGGCTCCTGGGATCCAAATCCAAGGGCTGCCTGTTGGGGAGCATCCAGGACAAAACTGAGCAAAGATTCCTCCTCGGACTTCAGCCTCCAGTCACTGACAGAGGCGTCAAATAAACAGGATTGAAGGAGTGAGGTGGGGGCAAGATCGCTTTCAACTTCAGACAGAAGGAGATGACAGTGGGTGAAATACAGGCCCTGCAAGTTCAAATCGTGGCAAACTTTTCCTGAGGTCTCCATTGTGGAAAGGTTTGAATTTTCTGAGCCTCTGTGTTTTCCAGATTTGGTTTCACTGCTGTCTGATTAGCAGAATGACTTTAGAAAAGGGATCTTGTGGCAGCCTATAAAAGACTGAGACAACAAGGTTGATATATAAGCTTTTGCAGGTTAAGTGTTCATCCATGCTGTAGATTTAGTGAAGCTTGACACCACTTTAACTGCCATGTCTCAATGCTATGGAGTGTTGGGAGCTGTAATTTTACAAGGTCTTCAGCCTTTTTTTTTTTTTTTACCAAAGAGGACTAGAACCTCACCAGACTACAGCTCCCATAATTTCATGGCCGTTATAGTGGTGTCAAAGTGCACAAATTCTACTCCTTAAATCTACTTCCTTAGATAGTTTTTAAGTAAGTGGTCTTTTAAGATTTGTGGCTAGAGATGCATTCCTCCTTTCCTAATGATGTATCTGGGAGTGGGTGTGGATGGGTAGAGGGAGAGGCAAATGGATGGCATTATCATCTCAGTAAGTCCCCCCCCCCCAGATGAAAACTTCATTCTCTAAACTGCTAGCTCTGCAAAGAATGTGACATTGAAATTTGTTGCCTCCAGTGAATCCCAGGTTCTAGACTAGAATCCCCTAACCTCTGGTCCTCCTGATATTTTGGACTTCTGTTCCCAGAATTGGCCAAAGTGGCAGAAGCTTTTTGGGAGGCAAAGTCCCAAACTCTTGGAGGATCAGTTTTGGAATTCCTGTTCTAGATATCTAGGTATTTTGGACTTCAATTCCCAGTCACCTTAGCTGCCTTGGCTAATCATCCTGGACCTCGGGATCTGAAGTCTCTGACCTGAAGGCCTGAGACTGTTCTATTTGCTGTGTTTGTGGTCATTTTGAAGGGCAGAAGGGAAAAAGGGGGTGGCAGACTCCTTATTTATGGGCAATGTGCTTATCCCCCTTCCCCCTATAGCTACACCAGCATGTTGTAGTGGTTAAATGTTGGCCTACAGCTTTGGGAGACCAGGGTTCAAATGTCTGCTTAGCTCACTGATTGGCATTGGACAAGTCACATTCTCTCAGCCTCAGAGGAATGGAAAGAAAATCCCCTTCTGAACAAATCTTGTCCCAAAAAAACATGATAGTTTTGCGTTAAGGTTGCCATGAACCAGAAGTGACTTGAAGACACTCAACAACATTGCTACACTCCTTGGAGTGTAGTTCCATTATTCTTGGAATTTTCCGGACAACTCTTTTCCCTTGCTCTGGATGAATTTAAGTCTGCTCAGTTTAAAAGAGCACAACCAAAGCAGATAAAGGGAATGCTTAAAAAGTTATTGTTTTCTTTGAATTGAACTCAAAGCTGGTGAAGGCAAGAAAACATTTCAAATTAGGAAAACAAGTTGAGCATAGTTTACATTTACTTGGATGCAAGGCTCATTGTGTTCAATGATCCCTTGCTAAAAGGGATGGGGATGATGACGACATGAGAACCCTTCTAGTTTTGGACTACAACTCCCAGAATCCCCAGCTAGCTTGTGGCCATACTGCCTGGGGAATGCAGGGGATTGTATCCTCAAAAAGAATCCCTTCTACGCTTTATTCCTAAGAATTGTGTTTATGAATTGCAGCATAAAGTGTTTACGGATTGCAGCAAAAGTCGGAAATGACTTTTTTTAGTGTAGGAATTTTGCCACTAGTGATTGTCATGGTGAATTTTCTCCATATATTAGCCAGGGTTTCAAAGCAGATCTCCAAGGTGCTGAATCCTATCCTCAAAACAGCTTTTTTGAAGTTCATACTAAACCTCAGAGTGGATGGACTGCCTTCTGGCAGGAAGGCTAGTGGTACCTCTGAATTTTGTCATTCATCAATTTTGCCCATGTTCCATGGATTAAGAAGACTCCTTGTGTTTCTTTTCTTTCAGGAATGACCATGGCATCTGGCAGAATAGGGACACGCCTTGCTGCCTGTCTGCTAAATGTTTCAGAAGGAAGAAGAAAGGATGTTGTTGAGAAAATAGCAAAAGCTGCCGTTTGTAAGGATAAAGGTATGAACTTCTCAAATGCCATTTTCATTCTGCAAAGATTCGGCCAATTGGCTACATTGGTGAATTTTAAAGGCTCAATCATCAGTCATTTTAAGGCCTATTTGCATGAAACTTACCTCAGTTTTAGACCCCATTTACAACTGCTGACCTACCAAGTTTCAAAACAATTCACCAATCTATTGATTTTTAGAATTATTTTAAGTTTTAACTATATATTTTTTAAAAAAATAAATAAGACAAACCGCAAGAGAGGGTGCTGGGAATTGTAGTCTCTGGTTGTTTCCATTCTCGGCCATTCAGGGCATGGGCACAGTCAGGCTGTTTATTGGCTGAGAAACAGAGAAAGAGAAAAACTTCAACTCCCATCATGCTCCAAGAGGATCTCAGAGACTTTTCAATGTCTGCCCTATGCAAGTTCTGCTAGGAAAGCAAGTTCCCAGCAGAGCCCTCTCTGGAGGGGAGCATAGGAAACTTTCCAAAAAAGAAATGCTTCTGCTGGGGAAGGAGAAAAGAAAAGACAAGGCAGATCACTGCCTCAGGTATGCAGACATAACTCCTTCCTCTCCAGGAACATTTTTTGCTGGTTTTTGTGGCTCCCTCCTCCCCGTTCTGTTTTCGAATATTATACAAAACGGCCCACCAAATATTACAAATCATTTTCATTCAGACTGATTTGGGCTCAAGTCTACAATGTATGTTATTGTTATAATTGGGTTTTTAAATTTCATATCTGTGTCTTATTTACATTTGTGGGCGATTTTATTTGCGGTTATATTTTTCGAAAGAAGTATTTCTTACAATAATGCGTGCTTTTAAACAAATTTTGTTTAAACAAATACAAACACCAACCTTTCTCGGCCAACATACCTCAGCATTTATGTAATGTATTTTATGACAAGAAACTTAAGCTATGGACAGAGTATGTAGGAACAAAGACTGAAAATGTTTTCAGTGGAAATGTTGTCAAATATCTTGAATTGCACAAATAGAAAACAATATCTTACAGACAATAGCCTGGTGAAAAATAATGCAGAGCTATATAAAATAATATTTTGGTTACTAAACTATGCACTAAAACAATGAAATCCTTAGAAATATTTTCAGTATCAGCTGTTTTGCAATACCATAGTTTTTCAATAGCATTCTGTTACTATTTTCTCCTTGCAAGCAATATTTTTAGACCTAGTCTGCCACTGAGGAAGACTCCATACTGTCTGAAGTTCCATGTGTTCTCCAGCTCTTCCTGAAAAGAAATATGGTTGTCATTTATCATGGCTAGTGATGATGAATATAAAACACTAAGTCTTGAACACTGCCAAAAGTAATTTTTGGGAGAATTAGCACCAGAGAGGTGAGGATGGTGGGAATTGGTGGTGTAATTTTGAGAGCTGCTTTTAATTTGCAAGCAGTTGTTGGCAGGGAACCAGCACTATGTTTGCACTGAATCAACTTGTTCAGAGGGATGTTGCCTTTACCTTCGTCTGATGTTGAGAGAATGTAACTTGCCCACGATTACCCAGTGGTTTTCCATGGCTGAGTGGACATTGAAGCCTGGTCTCCAGAGTCCATTGCATTTCCACCATTGAATATCTTCCTGTTGTTGTTGTTATTGTTGTTGTTCATTTGTTCAGTCGTTTCCGACTCTTCGTGACCTCATAGACCAGCCCACGCCAGAGCTCCCTGTTGGCTGTCACCACCTCCAGCTCCTTCAAGGTCAATCCAGTCACTTCAAGGATGCCATCCATCCACCTTGCCCTTGGTCGGCCCCTCTTCCTTTTTCCTTCCTTTTTCCCCAGCATTATTGTCTTCTCTAAGGTTTCCTTTCTTCTCATGATGTGGCCATATCTTCCTACAGTACTGCTTAAAGCAACACAACTTTCAGGGAAGGCAAAAGGTACTCTCTGGGTTGATGTGTGAATACATTGCTCTGTATAGCAAAGCCAAGTCCATTCCAATAACCTTCCTAAGGTGACACAAAAAAGCTGGAAACACATAGCCCTCTAGATGTTGTTGAACTATATCACCCATCATTCCTTATAATGGTTTGGGCTGGCTAGAGTTGTAAACTAACAATCTCTATATTTCGCAGTTCTGTTCTGATAATTTCATATGTTACGTAGTCTTGGGCTGGCTGAGAGGTATTTTTAACCACAAAACATATTCTCTCTTCTTCTGCCACCATAGGTCAGGAGTGTCAGCAAGCAACCGTGCTGAATATATTTTCGGACTATGAATATAATAGATCAGTAATAACAATAGCAGCTCCTGTTGACAGGCTTGGTAAGTATTTTTAAACACTATGTGTGGGTGATTCAGGCCGCTTCCACACAGCTGTATAAATTCCAAATTGAACTGGATTATATGGCAGTATGGACTCAGAAACCCCATTCAAAGCAGATATGGTGGATTATCTGGCTTGATATTCTGGGTAATATGGCTATGGGGAATGGCCCTCAGTGTGTGCGTGCATGAGAGAGAGATTTTATCCCTCCTCTGAAGATTGTGCTTGAGATGCTAAAGTTTCAAAATTAGAGAGTAAAAAGGTAAAGGTTTCCCCTGACATTAAGTATAGTCATGCCTGACTCTGGGGGTGGTGCTCATTTCCATTTCTAAGACGAAGAACCGGTGTTGTCCGTAGACACCTCCAAGGTCATTTGGCCGGCATGACTGCATGGAGTGCTGTTACTTTCCCACCAAAGTGGTACCTATTGATCTACTCACATTTGCATGTTTTCAAACTGCTAGGTTGGCAGAAGCTGGGGCTAACAACGTGAGCTCACCCCACTCCCTGGATTTGAACCGCCAACCAATCAGTCAGCAATTTCAGCAGCTCAGCGGTTTTAACCCGCTGTGCCAACAGAGGCCCCAACAATAGATAGATTCCACAATCTGTGTCTTGAAATCAAGCAAACCTTGATTTTGTCATCTATATAAATAAAAATGTAATGTTCGTTTGTGGGATTAACATAACTTAAAAACCACTGGACAAATTGACACCAAATTTGGACACAATACACCTATCAAGCCAACGAGTGACCATCACTCATAAACACTGAAAAACACAGCAGAAGAGACTTAAAAAGCCAAAAAACAAAAAATACATTACAGCGCATGCACAAAACCACATATATACATGCAAACACACATATATACACAATATACAGAAATATATACACACATATACATAGAAAGGGGGAAGGAAGGAAGGAAGGAAGGAGAGAAGGAGAGAAGAAAGAAAAGAAAGAGGGAAAGAAGGAGGGAAGGAGAGAGGGAAGGAAAGAAAGGTAGAAAAGGAAGGAAGAAGAGAAGGAAATGAAAAAGTGAAAGAAGGAAGGAGAGGGAAGGAAGGAGAGAAGGAACGAAAGAGAGAAAGAGGGAGGGAAGGAAGGAAAGATGCAAGAAAGAAAGGAGAGAAAGAGGGAGGGAAGATTGGCCACAGCAACGCTTGGTGGGTACAGATAGTTTTATATAAAGGGTGTCATTTTATTATGCTATTATATAATGGTATATGAGCATTTGGGCATATACAAGGGATCCTCAAACCAAACTCCAGAAGAGCACAAGGACCCATGTGTACTTACCTGAGCGTAAATCCCATTGAGCTCAGTAGGACATCTGAATAGAAGAAGTAAGCCAAACATCCTGCTATTTCTAGGAAGTGAGGATTTAAAATTGCTTTTCCCCAATGAGTTTTTATGTACTTATCAAGTAAAACTGAGACTGAATTAAGCCGAGGAACTACATATTAATCCCATTGTTGTGAAGTTGGGTTCTTCTACCCTAATTTGATGCCAAAATACTAACATAGATTCAAAATAGTGTCTCTTGGGCATTGGTAAAAGACATCTTATTTGCCCAGATATGGAGTTTTCTCTTATTAAAAACCTCTTCAGTACTTGTTTGAATTTCTTATATGTTGTGTTGTAGGTGCTGTAGGTTTATTTTGAAATGTGAAATTTGTTTCCAAAAGGAACCAAATCCCCCAAAATTGAAGAATTATTTATTGGCCGCAGCACATGATTATATGCTATCAAAAATGCATCAAATCACTTTGGTACAGAGCTTGAAAAAATTGGGTGTTGTAGCAGAGAATGGATATCCTCAGCACATTCTCTTCGATTCCTTTAAAATTGGTTTAGATGGATTTGGTACTTTATGGAAGCATCCTCCACAAATGTTGATAGCACTTTGAAAAGCAGTAGCATACACATTTACAAAAATATTAAAGGTCTCTTAAATTGTGTGTGCCTCCATCAAAACTCCATAATCATGAAACCCAAAAACCTGAAAATTGGGTGAATACCAGAGGACACAAGGTGCAGGCACCTTGGATTTGTTTATTTATTTATTTTTAGATGAATATATTTATACCAGTTAATTGAATTTTGGGTTGCCATGAGTTTTCCAGGCTGTGTGGCCATGTTCCAGAAGCATTCTCTCCTGGTGTTTTGCCCACATCTATGACAGGCATCCTCAGAGGTTGTGAGGTCTGTTGGAAACGAGTCAAGAGAGGTTTATATATCTGTGTAATGTCCAAGGTGGGAGAAAGAACTATTGTCTACTTCAGGCAAGTGTGAATGTTGTAATTGGTCAGCTTGATTAGCATTGAATGGTCTTGCAGCTTCAAAGCCTGGCTGTTTCCTGCCTGGGGGGAATCCTTTGTTGGTAGGTGTTAGCTGGCCCTGATTGTTTCCTGTCTGGAACTCCCCTGCTTGCTGAGTGTTGTTCTTTATTTACTGTTCTGATTTTGGATTTTTTTAAAAAAAAATACTGGTAGCCAGATTTTGTTTATTTTCATGGTTTCCTCCTTTCTGTTGAAAGTCCACATGCTTGTGGATTTCAGTGGCTTCTCTTTGTAGTCTGACATAGTGGTTGTCAGAGTGGTCCAGCATTTCTGTGTTCTCAAATAATACGCTGTGTCCAGGTTGGTTCATCAGGTGCTCTGCTATGGCTGACTTCTCTGGTTGCATGTGGGTGAAGCGTCAGAAGAGAATGGTTCGGGAACATGGCCATACAGTCCGGAAAACTCACAGCAACCCAGGGATTTAGGCCACGAAAGCTTTTGACAACATACCGTATATACTCGAATATAAACCGACCCGAATATAAGCCGAGGCACCTAATTTTACCACAAAAAAAAATGGGAAAACGGATTGACTCAAGTATGAGCTGAGGGTGGGAAATGCAGCCGCTACTGGTCAATTTCAAAATAAACATAGATACCAATACAATTACATTAATTGAGGCATCAGTAGGTTAAATGTTTTTGAATATTTACATAAAATGGTAATATGAGATAAAACTGTCCAACTCTGATTAAACCATTATTCTAACTATCTTCAATGTAAATGTTCTTACGTAACGTTACAATAATAATAAAGTTATAAATGTAATAATAATAATAATAATAATAATAATAGAGTAAGATTTAAAGATCGAACTGCAAAGACTCTGGCATAAGCCAGTAAAGGAGGTCCTATTGGTGATCGGCATACTGGGTGCAGTGCCTAAAGATCTTGGCCTGCACTTAAACACAATCAGCGCTGAAAATTACCATCTGCCAGCTGCAAAAGGCCACCCTACTGGGATCTGCACGTATTATTTGCCGATACATCACACAGTCCTAGACACCTGGGAAGTGTCCAACATGTGATACAGTACAACAGCCAGCAGATTGATCTTGTCTGCTGTGGACTCATCTTGTTGTGTTTCAAATAATAATAATAGAGTAAAATGATAAATATAGTAATAATAAATAGAGTAAATTAATAAATGTAATAATAATAATAATAATAATAATAATAATAATAGAGTAAAATAATAAATAATCTTGACTCGAGTATAAGCCGAGGGGGACTTTTTCAGCCTAAAAAAATGTCTGAAAAACTAGGCTTATACTTTGGTATATACTAGGCTTGGGCGGTTTCGTTCGTTAATTTCGTAATTCGTTATTAATTCGTATTTAAATTAACTTACGATCCAATATTGAGCCATGCAGGAATAGTGTGAGGAGTAATTAAGATTCGAAACAATTTTTTCAATTTATTTTGTAATTATTTCGAAATTATTTCGTAATTAATTCGTAATTATTTCGTAATTATTTTCGCATGTCTGGTGCAAGTTTTATAGTTGTTGTTTGTTTTATCACACCAACAGTCAACAACAGAGGGAGAGGGAAGCTTCAGAAGTTCCTCCTGTCCCATTTGGAGGTTTTTTTAGCATATTGTGCAATCTCGTCCGCCATTAACGAATTGATTCGTAATTTTACAAAATTTCGTAAATTTAAAAAAAAATTAAAGGAAAATTTCGGAATTATTAAAAAAAACGAAACGCAAGGGCCCCCTAAAAACAAAACGAGTTTAGAACCAATTTTTTCCGTGGTTACCCAAGCCTAGTATATACAGTAATTGAATTCTGTTTTTAGACTGCAGTCCCATTATCAGCCACAAAGTGGCAGACATCCCGAGTCTTTCCTAATGAGCAGAGATTACATTGCAATCCATCCTAGAATATTCATTTTACCCAAAGCCACTAGAAAACCCACTGAAGCTGGATCTACACTGCCATATAACCCAGATTATCTGCATTGAGCTGGATTATATGAGTCTACACTGTATAATTTGGCTTTTATATGGCAGTGTAGATGGGGCTTGAGCGTTCTCCTTTTCAAGACTGTCATCATCTTCAAATAGCAAAAAAAAAAAATCAGATTGGAGGGCGAGCGTATCTGTTGGGAGTGCTTTGATTGTGTATTCCTGCATGGCAGGGGGTTGAACCAGATGACCTTGACAACTCTTCCAACAGAATGATTCTATGAAAGTCAGATGTGTCAGGCTAGAGAGAAAAATACAACGAAGAACAAAAAAGTGTACAGTTTCTCTTTGCAGTTTTTGAAAAAATAGTGTAAAATTAAAATTACAAACCCATTCATGCCCATGGGTCATCATTATAAGAGAGGAACATGAGTGAATTCAGCTAGAATTAACAAGGGTGTATTTTGAAGATTTCATGTCTTTAAACATTAGCTTACTTTTCAAAGCTCGCTTTTGTCTCCTCAGCAGTTTGCTAAGTATTCTGATCACAATGGGCAAGCTCACTTTTGAAATCCAGCTACATGATGGAGGAGGAGAATAAAGCATCCTTTGTTTTGTCTTTTATTCTGGGAACATTCTATAGGGACATCTACAATATGAATCAAGGCAAGTTTGCCAGAAAAAGATAACAAGGAGTGTCAAGTGGATGTGAATATTAACACGATAGTTTTTAGTATTTTGGTTTTTTTTAAAAAAAAGAATAGAAATGAAACATTTATAGTATACGATTAAATAGCAAAGCTGTCAAGATAACAAGGAGCCTGCCTGGTTGCATGGTCTTGAAGTATGTTCATATGATATAATAAACCTTTCTTCAAGGTGGTTAGTTTTGTAAGACATCAAAGACCTTGAGATTTCTCCAAAAATATTCACACTCTGCGTAAAGAAGAGAGGAGCTACATTTTCACTTTGAAGAGACTGAAACAATGTTGTCCTCTCTCCTTTGTGTGTGTGTGCGTTTGTATCTCAATGAAATATCTTTTTTAATACATTTTGGATCAGAGGAACCAAAAGCTAGTTTCCTCCTTCAGGCACAGAAGTTAGTAATGCACAATATTTATTTATTTATTTATTTATTTATTTATTTGATACACTTGTATACCGCTAATATCTCAGCCTGGAACGGCGACTCATTGCGGTTTACAGCAGTTAAAACAATCTACAATTTAAAAACATATACACATACAATAACAAATTATTGGGCCACCAATAATAATCCCATATAGTCTCGAGTTAAAATCACAATCCAGAGTTCGTTGTCCAAGTTTCCTGTCCTTAGTCATCAATATTCGAATTAGGAGAGAACGTTAGGAGAGAATGCCTCTACAGCCATGTTTTTAGTCTCTTCCTAAACACCATCAGCGAAGAGGCTGATCGTACCTCTATAGGGAGGGTGTTCCAAAGCCGGGGGGCCACCACAGAGAAGGCCCTGTCTCTCGTTCCTGCCAGCCGCACTTCTGAAGCTGGAGGGATAGAGAGAAGGGACTCTCCGGAAGATCTTAGGGTCCTGGTGGGCTGATAGGATGTCTTTTTTTCTTTTAGGGAGCAGCGTTGTTGCTGCCTGCATGGAGGCCTTCTCATCCATAAACATGGCAGCACATGTTGGGATCCATCCATGTCTTGGGGCTGTGGATTTGGTGCCCATTTACCCATTGTCAGGCGTCGACTTGGAGGAATGTGGAGCGGTGGCTCGAAGTAAGCCTAAATATTTCCATTTCTGAAGAACATGTGTCCTATTACATAGCATTGGGCTACCCTTCCCATTAGACCTAGGTTAGCAGTCTGGCAGGTGCTGAGGTATGATTCTTGTTCAGCATTGCCTGAAAGACTACAGGTCTAGCAGAAAGTCCTTTCACATGGGCACAACTAATGGGCTACTCCAGGATTGAGCAGAAAGGGGTTGCAATAAATGGAGGGTGTGAAATAAACTGAAGTCAGTAGCAAGGAAAAAGCTTGTCACTTGTCTGACAGTTGCTCAGCATGTTTTCACAGGTAAAACTAATGTGCCAATTGTGCCCATTAAAACCTCAGATCTGGTTATAGTCACACATGCCTTGATTATATCCTATTTGGACTACTGTAATAATAATAATAATAATAATAATAATAATAATAATAAAAAACAATCCAGAGCAGAAGAGAAAACTGGTGAAGGAAGGTTCTCCATGGACAGTTCCTGGGAAAAATTGGGAGACAATTTGACAAAGAAAAAAATATGATTATGGCTCACAAATGGAATCAGGAGGGCCTGATTCTGGAATCAGGAGGGCCTGATTCTGGCAGCCCAAGAATAAGCCATTAGAACAAATAACACCAAAGCCAGAATTGAAAAGTTGACAACAGATCCCAAATGTAGACTCTGCAAGGAAGCAGATGAAACAATAAATCACATCAGCTGCTGCAAGAAGATCGCGCAGACACACTACAAGCAGAGGCTTAACACCGTTGCTCAGATGATTAAGTGGAACATGTGCCACAAATACTATCTGCCTATGAGAACTGGTGGGATCACAAGCAGGAAAAGTTACAGAAAATGAACACGTCAAACTCCTCTGGGACTTCCGAATTCAGACAGACAGAATTTTGGAGCACAATACTCCTGACCTCACAATTGTGTTAAAAAACAAAGTATGGATTGTTGATGTTGTAATCCCAGGTGACAGCAGGGTTGAAGAGAAACAACTGAAAAAGCTGACACGATATGAGGATTTAAAGATTGAACTGCAAAGACTCTGGCTCAAGGTGGTCCCAGTGGTGACTGGCACACTGGGCCCAGTGCCTAAAGACCTTGGGCTGCACTTAAACACAATCGGCGCTGACAAAATTACCATCTGCCAGCTGCAGAAGGCCACCTTACTGGAATCTGCATGCATTATTCGCCGATACATCACACAGTCCTAGACATTTGGTAAGTGTCCGACATGTGATCCAATAAAACACCCAGCATAGTGATCTTGTTTGCTGTGGACTCATCTTGTTGTGTTTCAAATAATAATAATAATAATTTATTTATTTGACTAGTCATATGACCATTTCAAAATACAACACGAATAAAATACAATGCAAAAACCTCACGATAAGTTTACCTTAAAGTCTCCTTAAGTCAGAAATGTTTTGAAGGCACACCATAACCAAGCCACCACATTAGGAGGCATGATCTAACTGAATGTAACCCCCCTTTTGTCTATTTTTGCTTTTAGATATAGCAGAGCATTTGGCTCATTGTGTCCCTGGATGCAGCATATTTCTTTTTGGACATGCAGACCTCCCAAAGAAGCAAAGCCTTGTTCAAAGAAGGAAACAGCTGGGATGGTTTAACCAAGGAGCTTCTAAAGCAGCACATATTATTCCTGATGTCGGATTGGCACCTACTTCACAATACGGCTTAACTGGTATGAATGCAACTGCATACCACAATTCTTTATTATTCTCTGTTGTTTACTGAGGAATATCAACGCATGCAGAAGTGTAGCTACTGGAAAAGATAGGTATGTATTCCATAGAGTTGAAAGATATCACAAGGGTCATCCCCCTGGATTACAGCTCTGGAGATCAGTGTTTGAATTCCTGCTCAGCCATGAAAAATCCACTGGGTGACCTTGAGCAAGTCACACACTTATGATTTATGACAATGTAATAAATCTGGAATGATGTGAAGGCACCTCACAACAGACTCACAACCTCTGAGAATGCCTGCCACAGATGCAGGCAGAACCCAGAATATTTCTAGAACATGGCCCAAAAAACCTACAACAACCCAGTGATTCCAGCCATGAAAACCTTCAACAATGCAGGAACAACTTATTTATTTAGAGTACAGGTATTTACACTCACCCTCTTACCAAAAGGACTCTTAGGGTGACTCACGAATACAATGATGCCTTGACTATAGAGTTTAATTTGTTCTGTGATGAAGCTCTTAACTCAAAACACTCTTATCTCAAAGAAAAATTCCCATGAAAATGATATTAATTTGTTCTGGCCCCCAACCAGTGATTTTTTAAATAAGAAAATGTACTTTATAAATAACAAATAATGTAATAATAATAATAATAATAATAATAATAATAATTTTATATTCTGCTCTCCCTCCTCAAGGGGACTCAGGGCAGATAAATGCACATTCACATGGAATAAAGAAAGGTCAACTTTGAAATGGTAGAAGCACAAAGTTGTGGCAAGGAAGCACAAAGCACTAACTGAAGAGGCAGAAGCATCTTTTCTTCATACCGGACTCATTCTAGCTTCCCTCCTCTTTCTCTCTCACTCTCTTCATGAAGCCAAACATACCAGGAAAAAAACCATACAAAATCAACTAACCCGAAGTTCCTCAATGCGGGCAAGAGCAAAGCGGACAGCAATCTCCCAAAGTGGACAAGAGGACAAGGCACTGAGGCTGCTCTCTTGAAGCCCTAAAGTGCTGCCCTCTTGCACTAGTCCTCCCTCTGGCACTAGCTCTTAACTCAAAATGCTGCTCTTATGTCAAACCGAAACCCAGGCAGAGCGACAACTCTTAATTCAAAATGCTCTTAAGTAGGGATGCTCTTAAGTAGAGGTTCCAGTGTAGTCAATATGATTGTTCACTGCTCTTAGGCTTTCAATCTAAATAAGACATAGCGTACAAGGAAAAGAGAACTGGCAGTGGAGGAGGGAATTAAGTCTAGCAGAAGCTGATTAATAAAAATAATATAATCTGGTTTTTATAGTCAATTTAGAAGGCTGAGTGCATTTTGGACGTAATGGGATGTGTCATAATGTGGATTGCACTCCATTTAATTGCATCCAGCATGTTGATCTAGGAAGTGGCGAGGATTGGGACAGTGCATTCAACCAGGCTGGCTAAATATGGTGTATGTGAGGAAGTGGGCTACCAAAGGAACAGAATCAAAAGTATCCCTGAACTTGGATGTGGTCTGCATGAAGCAAAGCTGGTTGTATGTGTCTTGTTGAGAAACACACTTGTCTGCATTCCTTTTTAACCCTCTTGCTTCAGTCGTCATCCTGCCGCAAGAATTTTTCAACCAGACCTTAATAGCAGAGTTTTCAGTTGTTCCTCCTGGGATGTTGCACACAAACTGCATTTGTGTTTGCAAAGAAAGAATGCACACCAGATGTTAATGAGTACATTTGTTGTTGTTTTTTCTACCTCAACAGTATGGCCTTGAGAATTTGCATTATTTTCTCCTCACTGTAAAGGCTTTTGTTTTCCTCACAGAAGCGCAGATTATAAACTATCAGAATTTCAAAGAGAAGTAAAATGAAGACCTCAAGCAAATACTAAACCTCCATATTCTTCTGCAATATAGTTATTTGCCATGATATTTGCTTTAAATGAAGTTTCCTCTCTTTGCTTTTGAGAGCTTAGAATTAACTTGTTCAAAGTACCCTCATTGGGTTTTTTTTGAAAAAAGAAAAAATAGTCATTTTAACATCATTTAATATTTATTTTTCAGGGTATTCTTAATAGCCCTATAATATGTGTGTACTATACTTTTATTCTTATTACTCTCTTTTTAACATATGAAAAACAACTTCAAATTAGTGCTTTTTAAATAGGGTAGTCATTTAATCTTTTAATGATGCTACTATTAAAGTCTGTATTTCTTCAGTTCTAAGTTTACCTGTCCGAACGCATCTCTCCCTATGAACCATCTAGGCGCTTAAGGTCATCTGGTGAAGCCCTGCTCTCGGTCCCGCCCCCTTCCCAGATGCAATTGGTGGGAACGAGAGACAGGGCCTTCTCAGCAGTGGCTCCTCAGCTATGGAACGCCCTCTCTAGGGATATTAGATTGGCCCCCTCCCTCCTAACATTTCAAAAGAGAGTCAAAACCTGGCTGTTTGAGCAGGCATTTGTAGATGCAGTGTAACAGACTAATTGAGATCCACGAAACGATTGGATAATGCAATGGAAAAATGATTTTAGTGATGAGATGCTAAGGACTTGTGTTTTATGGTTTTTATTGTTTTATTGCTTTTATATGCGTTATATTATATGTAATGTGTTTAACTGTATTTATGTTGTTTGGGGCCGTTGACTGCCGACTGTAAACCGCCTCGAGTCACCTCTGGGTTGAGAGGGGCGGTATAGAAATATGGTAAATAAATAAATAAATAAATAAATAAATAAATAAATAAGGTGCACTTTCCCTCTATATAGTAAACAGGTAAAGGTTTCACCTTGACATTAAGTCTAGTCATGTCTGACTCAGAGGTGGTGCTCATCTCTGGCTGATGAGACTGTTTTACTGTTTTAATGATGGCTTATATATTATTAATAATGCTTTTATGTTTAATTGTGGTTTTAATTACTGGAATTTGTTATGTAATGGCTTCGTAACGGGGCCCATTATAAGCCGTCTGAGTCCCCCTTTGGGGGTTGAGAAGGAGGGGATAGAAATGTGAGAAATAATAAATAAATCTCCATTTCTAAGCCAAAGAGCCGGCGTCGTCCGTAGACACCTCCAAGATCATGTGGTCAGCATGACTGCATATGGAGCACTGTTATCTTCCCGCAGAAGTGGTACCTATTGATCTACTCACATTTGCATGTTTTCAAGCTGCTAGGTTGGCAGAAGCTGGGCCTCACAGCGGGAGCTCACCCTGCTCCCCGGATTCGATCCGCCAACCTTTTGGTCAGCAAGTTCAGCAGCTCAGCAGTTCAACTTGCTGTGCCATCAGTGGCCCCATATAAATACCTCTAAAATGAGGTATGTCTTAGAATCATGGATGCTTTTTATATATTTAAATAGGGCTTTTTTCTGTTCGTGGTACTGAAATTAGTGTGCATCTTACAATTAATGACATCTTAGAATCAAAGAAGTACAGCACTAATAAGGAACTTCATCTCAAAGACGTAATAGAAAGTAATTACAAGGTAACTCTGAAATACGTTTCCAAGCTCTGGTGTGCATGTACTTTTCCAGATCTGCCTGATATTCTCTGTCAGTATTTTCTATGATTTGTTTTCTGTTTATTCCAGGTGTTGGGGCCAGCCCTTATGTGATGAACTGCAATGTGACTGTAGATACCCAGGACTTGGCAACGGCAAAGAAGATAGCCCAATCCATCCGAGGAAGCAGCGTAGGGGGCCTGAAGGGCGTGCAGTCGATGGCGTTCCCGCACAAGGGGCAAATCGAAATAGCGTGTAATGTGGAAAGTTTTGATGAGCATGACAACCAGTTGGCTACTGGGGAAGAACCGGGCTACGTTTCGTACAGCATTCTTGGGAGGACTTACTATTATGTGTCCCCACACTTGATAGAAGCTTCCATTCAGAAGTTAGCCAGAAGCCATGGAGTCAGCACAGTGGGGACTGCGCTAGTTGGTTTTACACCAGAAGAATGTGCGCGCTGTGCTGTCTACGCATTAACCACTGGTGTTAGTGAATTTTGGAGGGCTAGGGGTGGTATCTTTATGTGATAGCCCTTTTTGTTAATTTTAAGTTCAACTCACGATGATTGTAAGGGATACTCTGATCCATTGTGAAAATGGGACTAAGAAATGGACATTGGCAAAGCTAGAAAATAATGGTATATATTAATTATGATATAAAGCACCTTTGGAGCTCCTGGCTGTTGTTGCCGACAGTTCATGAGCTTCATCCAACATAGCTAGTGGAAAGGATCTGTGAGAGTTGTAGTTTCCAACCATCTGAAGGGGTAGAGGCTCATCACCTCTTATCAGGCATTTATAATTTTTGAGTTACTGTATATACTCATGTATAAGTTAATCTGAAGGGCAGAGTTGTGGGCAAAAAAAAGGTTTTCGTTATGACAGATGGGTAATTCCAGGGAGAGAGGAAAATCCCAGTGACCTCTTGGGTGCGGGGGGATCTGCTCCTGTCCATTGCTGCCATTTTTTCCCAAAGCAGTTCTGGAATGCCAGAAGCATAGTTCATCTTTTGGGGTCTTCCAGCTCTTGCCTTTTGTTATTCTATTCAAATGGGTCATTTTTTAAAATTTATCTTTATTGGCGAATGACATAGACAAAATGTAAACATAGACAGATGTTGACAATACAATGAGAAATATATATCCATATATATATATGCGTAACTCATACACATATATATCTATATATATACACACCTATATACACATGTACACCCACAAAACCCTACCCTTAAGGGGAAAAAAGGGGGAAGAGAAAAAAGGGGACCTCACCCACACACCCACACAACGTTTTCGCATTGCTCAAAAAGAGTGAAGATATAATTCTTCCAACAGACAAGTCATACCTTTGGGGCGAGGGTTATTTTATAATGTCGGCCAAGATGAAATACTTTGGCCACATCATGAGAAGAAAGGAAAGCTTAGAGAAGACAGTTATGCTGGGGAAAATGGAAGGAAAAAGGAAGAAGGGCCGACCAAGGGCAAGATGGATGGATGGTATCCTTGAAGTAACTGGATTGACCTTGAAAGAGCTGGGGGTGGTGACGGCCGACAGGGAGCTCTGGCGTGGACTGGTCCATGAAGTCACGAAGAGTCGGAAACGACTGAACGAATGAACAAAAACATCTATACTTATACATGAGTATATGCAGTACTGTCTTCCCTTAACCTGATTCATCACAGATATGTTGTCACATTTCCCATCTCAACCAGCATGGTCTATGTAGAAAATTGCCTTCACATTGAATGAACAGGGTCACCACTGAGTGCCTTAGAGGTGGACTAAAGTTGTCTGTACAACCTTTCTAATATGTTATTTCAAGCAGCAGGGAATCTGAACACCCCCTGCCCTGCCCCTATATCTGTTCAAAGTGACTGCTCCTCTCTGAAGACTCTCTGGATCAGGAGGCCAAGGGGAAGGAGTCCAAGTACAGTCATAACAGTTTTTGTCACTTTGCCCATCATTAATGTATCTGGTTTCCTTGACACGAAACTGTCTTTTATTCATTCCCAGGTCTGCTACCTGTAGCAGTGTTGCATTTTGAATAAATTATGCAGATTGATTCTTCTCTGATTGTGGGTTCTGAATTGGATCTTTTAGATACGGAAGACAGATCTGTTTGGCACAAAACATGCAATACCTTTATTCCGTCCCTGGATGAGCTTTTTTGAGTCTACTGGGATTTTTTTCCCATGTCAGGACAACTTGAGAAACTGCAGGTTGCTTCTGGTGTGAGAGAACTGGCTGTCTGCAAGGACGTTGCCCAGGGATCGCCCGGATGTTTTGATGCTTTACCATCCTTGTGGGAGGCTTCTCTCATGTCCCCACAGGGGGACCTGGAGCTGACAGAGGGAGCTCATCCATGCTCTCCGGATTTGAACGTCTAACTTGTCGGTCTTCAGTCCTGCCGGAACATTGCGCCACCGGAGGCTCCTACTGGGAAATGCTATGACTTAATATACACTTATTTGGAGGAATTGCATTTAATAGTAGTCATCTCCAAATAAACATGCATGGGGTTGAATATCTCTTGTCTGAAATGCTTAGCACCAGAAGGGTTTTGGATTATTATTATTATTTATTTATTTATTTATTTATTTATTTGGAGCATTTATTAACCGCCATTCTCAGCCCACTCGGGCGACTCACGGCGGTGTACAGTACAAAAGGCAATTCACACAAAGACAAGTACAACAGCATATTAACCATACAACAATACAACAGTTAAAATTAAAATTAAAATTACACTAACTAATCCGCTTCGTCTCGTAATAGAATCGTGACCAATCTCGTATTCCTTGTACCATTCCAGTCGTCTTTACCACATTACTATAGCACTTAATTAAATGCCCTCTCGAACAGCCACGTCTTGAGGCTTTTTCGGAAGGACAAAAGAGAGGGCGCCTGCCTGATGTCTGTAGGGAGAGTGTTCCACATTATTATTATTATAACTTTATTTGTACCCCGCTAATATCTCCCGAAGGACTCGATGCGGCTTACACAGGCCAAGGCCTCAAACACAATACAACAATACAATACCTAGAGCAAATTAAAAACAGATTAAGCAGAGTAAACAACAGCAATAACAATACATTGAGACATCAAGACACTATAAAAACTGGGCCAGGCCGGGGTAGTGGGTACAGGATTAAAAGTGCTGATGTGCAGGAGGTATGTAGGATTATAAAATAGGTGCAGTGTACGGTGTGCAGTAATCTTAATTCTATTAAAGTGCTTCTAGGATTTGGTATTGGGGGTTCCTAATCTGGAAAGGCACATCGGAACAGCCAGGTCTTCCAAGTTCTTTCTGAAGACTGCCAACGAAGGGGCCTGTCTAAGATCTTTTGGGAGGGCGTTCCAGATATTGGATTTTGTTGGAGCACCTATATTTGCACACACATACATAATGAGACATCTTGAAGATGGAAACAAGCAATACAAGAAATTCATTTATGTTTCATATTAAAAGTTGGACGGTTTTTTTTTTTCCCTCAGGAGTACTTTAGTTGTGTATTCTTGCATAATGGAGATCTGACTTGATGGCCCTTGCAGTCCCTTCCAACTCTATAATTTTCTGATTCTAATATGTGTGAAGTTTACTATATACTCATGTATATGTCTAGACATTTTTGTCAAAACATCAACCTGAAAGATCAGAGTTGATTTATCCACAGATCAGTGTGAGTAACATACCTTAACTTATCAAAAAAGGAGCCCCTTCTCTGAGTAGAGTGACAAAATGCAAGAGCTTAGTCCATTCGAGAAGAATCTAAAAGAAGGACCAACCCTTCCTCTATGATCTCCCCCTTGGCACCAATACTGACCTTGTTGAATATTTATGCTGGCAGCTACTAGGGGCAACATGGCTGTTTTCTCCTCTCTGTGGAATAACTTATTCACAGGTCATATCAAAAGCAATAATTTTGGCCCCTAAAATGAGTTAAGTTTACAAATGTCTATGGATAATGTAGAATATAGGTAGTAATCCAAGTTGTGTCTCTGCACATATAATTCAGTCTGATTTTTTTTGTGTCAGGAGCGACTTGAGAAACTGCAAGTTGCTTCAGGTGTGAGAACTGGCCATCTGCAAGGATGTTTCCTAGGGGACGCCCAGATGTTTTATCATCCTGTGGGAGGCTTCTTGCATGTCCTTGCAAGAGAAGCTGGAGCTGACAGACGGGAGCTCACCCTGCTCCCCGGATTCTAACTGCCGACCTTTCAGTCAGCAGTCCTGCTGGCACAAGGGTTTATCCCATTGCACCACCGAAGGCTCCATTTCAATCTGATAAGGGGTGCCTTTAACTTTTATGATGTTTGGACTCCTATCCTGTAAAAGTTGGCTGTGCTACATGGGACTAAAGGAAATGGCTGGAGAAATCAGCTAGAAGCCCAAAGATTCCTCATTCTGTCTCTGGAATAAAAATGCACAAGTCACCTGGTTTGTTTCATATATTGGTAGGTTACATACCTGTGACCATCTTTCTTCGAGTGGTGCTCTGCGAATTCACACTTGTGGAGAGTCTGCGCCTGCGCGGGCTCCAACGGAAAACTTCTACTTTTGAAACTTTTAAGTTTTGGCGGTAACCCCGCCCAGCCCCGGCAGGGGATAAAAGGGCGCCCCGCGGCGCCGCTCCAATTCCTACGCCGCACGGTAGCGAGAAATTGGAGGTTTGCTTGCGGGGAGGCTGGGCGGGTTAGTGTGAATTCGCAGAGCACCACTCGAAGAAAGATGGTCACAGGTATGTAACCTACCATTTTTCTTCGTGGTCTCTGCGAATGCACACTTGTGGAGACTAGCAAGCTCAGGTCCCGGAGGCGGGAAGAAGCAAACCGACCATTCAAGTCAAGGGCCAAACAATTTTATTAAGTGCAAACAGTTACCAAACAAGAGATTGTAATCGCTTCCGAAGAAGGGCATAATGCATGACAAGAGGTTGCAATCACTTCCAAAGAAGGGCAGAGTGCATGAACTTACGGGAGTACGTGATCCTCCCGGCCACTCAAAAGGTGACCAACAATCAATTAAACTTATGACCCTTGAAACAAAACACATGGTGATTACTGAAGGCACTCATAATAATGAGGGTACATCGTTTGGCAATTGAGCCACAATTATTGCAAGAGGAAAACACACAATAGTAAGGCACATAACATTGATGATGGGCCAGAGTACCCGTAATGGGCCCATTAAGGTCATAACGGGATGGCTACCTATTTACCGGTAGCAAGGCATTAACAATAAAGGTGCAGCTTTATTTCCAGTAACGCGGAAAAAAGGGCAATTTTTCAAGTAACACACTAATAGCACATTCAATGATGCACGATATCGAGTAAACAAGACATTCAATGATGCACGATATCGAGTAAACAAGACACTTTGTCGATACGAATCTCAAAGTCCATCCCCGTACCTAAAGCGGATCTGAGCCCAGCACCGCTCTCCCAAAGGCCATGTCAGGTGTAAACCTAGTGTTCAACCTGTAATGGGTGACAAATGTCTGGGGATTCTTCCAAATGGCCGCCTTGCAAATAGCTTCCAAGGGAATCCCCTTCAGAAAGCAGTCGAAGCTGCCATAGCTCTGGTCGACCGGGCCCGGACGACCGAGGGTGGTTGCTGTCGAGCTAGCTGGTAGCAAAGCTCGATGACCGAGGTAATCCAGTGGGACAAACGTTGCGCCGAGATCGGCAGGCCCACCTTGTCCGGAGCATATGCTACGAAGAGCCTCTGCGACCGTCGAGATAGGGCAGTCCTGTCCCTGTAACAAAGTAATGCTCTCCGCACATCAAGCATATGCAGTTCTTTTTCCCTCGGGGTCGAAGGGGATTGACACAGGGAAGGGAGGA